ATTTGTCGGCATGGCTTCCGTGAGCGAGGGTTTGCGGGCTACGCCGTGGAGCAATCTTTTTTGGTATCTTGCTAGCAACGACAGAGTACGCGATTATCGCCAGTGGCTAGAGCAACGCGCAGATTTGGAATCATTCTCAGCCCTTCTGTTTGGAACAGATATTGTATGTAATTGCCCGTGGCTTCACGAATGTCATGCTCGCGTACTGGCAAAACAAGCTTTTCTGTACTCATCGTCTTGTTCGTCCTCTCCTCCTTCCCCATCTTCGTCTTCTGCGCCATCGTTATTCGATCCCCTTCCCCTTCCCTCGCCTGCCTCCTCTTCTGCCCGCGGAGGGGTTGCTGATGAGGGTTTGGTTGTGGAGGTGCAGGGGGGAGGCTTGGAGGAGCTGGGCCGCCTCGTGCGAGGCTTTCCGTTCAAGATGCTTTGAGAAGTGGTTGGGGATCGTGCGGTTGCCGCTCAGATGCGCGAGCGCGGTTGGCTCGTACGCCCTGCGTTAACGGCGCCATCGCCCCCGTGTTTCGACTTGCGAGAGCCACAGCTCCCCAGTCAGAGCTTGCCTGTGTAGGGGTCCTAGCGGATTCGTATGATTAGGTTAGGTTTGCCGCCGATTTTCGCCGCACGCCTGGGTGCCCGGATGCCGGGGGGTGCCCGGGGGGTGCCCGGGGGTGCCTGGGGGTGCCCGGGTGCCCGGGTGCCCGGGTGCCCGGGCGTGCCCGGGGGCGCCTGGGGGTGCCCGGGGGTGCCCCGTAGCCCTATAGCCCTATAGCCCAATAATTCAATAACCCTATAGCCCTGCAACTCTATAGCCCCTATAGCTTTATAGCCCTATAGCTCAATAGCCCTATGGCCTCCTAGCCCTATAGCCCTGATTTGGGTTTTTCTCTGGTATCATTTATGTCTGTGGCTTTGGGCCTCATGCTGGAAGGCCAGGTCGCTGCATTGTACGCTCGCGTGACTGGCCAGCTTGCTGCACATGCGATTACACGGCTGTTGGCAGCGCAGCATAAAGCAGGCGGGTATTGGCACTGCGTTTGTGTTGCCGCAGAGCCCGCTGAAACTGCAGGCCCGCCGCTCGCGCCTGAGCCGTGGGCCGCCGTCCTGGCACTGCGCCGGGGTGGTGCGCCATGGGAAGGGCGCGCCACTTCGCATTCAAACCGCACCGCGGTTTTGGCGTTGAGCGGCGGGTGTCGCGGCAACCGCGCTCACGCAAGTTTCCCAGAAGGGGCGTCAAATAGGACAATTTCTTGGCCATCAGTTGGGCGCTCACTGGTTGACCTCTGGGCGTTCGCGCGGGATCTCCCGTTGGACGTCAGCCATGTGAGAGCATTGGGGTCATTCGGTTTCTCCTCAGGTGCCTCGACTGCGTCTGTGCTCGCAGATTCCGGTTTCAGCCTGCTGGGAGCAGGGGGCCTGAGGTGATTGGCGCGCGCGTCGCCTCAGGCGTGCAACCATTGCGCAGAGCGCTGCCCCACTTGGTGCTTGATGGCTTCTCGCAGGAACATTTATCAGTTGCCCTTTTACTCGAACATCCCGCGGTAAGACAGCCGTCATTGTTCCCGCCTGTCGATCATGCTTTGGAGCACCAGTCGGATAACCCTGAGGATGTTATGGCTCAAAGGGAACATCTGGTTGACTTGTTGTGTTCCCTGTGTGCCGCTTGTGCTCAAGAGGCAACTGTGTTACGTGATCTTGCGCCAGAGCCTACCCAGCGTGTCCTGGTTGCTGGTGGCCCCCTGCGTAATATCCCTTTCACGCGAGACACCGCGCATGTAGTTTCTTCGCCGGATTACGCGGCATTGGGGGATGATTGCGTTGGTCTGCAAATGTTAGGTTGGGCGCAGTCTGCTCCGGGCACGTTGGCCCGCGCTGCGCCCAGTTAGCATTATTAGCACGCTGCTTGAAACATCGCAGCCGCGGAACGAACGCATCCGTCGAAGGGTCAGGGCCAGCGACGACGCGGAGTTAGACGCGCGTGCTTGGGACAAGACCAAAGAAGAAATCAAGTTTGGTCTTGTCTCGGCCCCATGCTATTCTTTGTCGGATCTCCCTTGGCAGTCGTTTGCCCTCGTCCGTCGGCGGGGAATTAGGGAACGACGCGCTTGCGCTGATGAGCCGTCGGTCCGTGTGCTGGATGATTTGCTGGAAGGGGGTCAAAACGACACTGTCGGGCACCAGTGCACGCACCGCCCTGCAGATATTGATGCTTTCTCGGCGTGTGCCCGCGTGTCTGGTGAAGCCTTCGCTGTGGAGCTATCCATGTTCACGTCTGACTTTGCCAAGGCATTCAAACAAGTGCCAAATTGGCATAAGCTGCCCCATTGTGCCGTACTGGTGCAGTGGGATCCAGAAAGACAGGCGGCTGCGCACATGGTTCCGTGCTCGCAGGTTTTTGGTGGACGATCGACGCCACTGAATTTCGCTAGGTATCCAGCTTGGTGTTGCTACGCTCTGGCAGTGTTGGCGGTGCTGCCGGTGTTCCATTGCGTTGACGACATGCTATGCGTGGAGAGACGGTGCGCGATCGCATCTGGGTGGGTGTTGTGGCGCGTCTTCGCAAATCTATGCGGTTGTCGCGTGCCGGACAAGAAAAGCCCACCCCCCAGTGCAACGCAAGTTGCGTTAGGTGCCCAGTGGGATTTCAGTGCGTTTCCACGCGGGGACGTCGTAATTTGCATGGCCAGCGCGCGCATCTCAATAATTCTTCGTTTGCTCCGGGATGTCCTAGCCGCGGATTCACTCGGGAGTGGTCTTGCTGGGCATCTGTGGGGCAAGCTTCAGTTTGCCACTACGCATCTGTACGGTCGTTTCGGGCGCGCTATGTCGCGTGCTTTCATGCGGCGCCAAAGGGAGTTGAGAGCGAACTTGAACCCTCAGCTACTTTGCGCCATATAGTGGTGGGTGAACCTTCTGTCTTCTGGTGGGCCACCGCGCGTGGTTCCGATTTGCGAAGACATGTGGCCTGTTGCTGTGTCATATTCAGACGGAGAGGGTGGCTCGGCTGGGTTTGGCGTCGCCACATGGCCGGCTTGGTTGTCTCGGCCGCTCGCGGCGCACGTTGCAGTGCCGCGCGAAGTTCGGCTGTATTGGACAAGGGCAAGTGTTCAAGCTCACGACATATTCGAGATTGAAGCGCTTGGCCCATTAGCTATTTTATCGACGTGGCCAGACATCACGCGAGGGTGTCAGTGGATTCATTTCATTGGCAACGAGGCGGCGGAGTCGCCCCTAGTCCGCGGGTGCTCCAGCGTTGATTCTGGTGACGCGATCGTCGGCTGCACGTGGGACTGTGTCAGCAGGCTCAACGTCATTCCGTGGTTCGACCGAGTGGAAACTTCGGCAAACCCCGTCAACGGTTTGAGCCGGGGCCGTTTCCAAGGCCCTTGGGGGGAGGTGGTCACGGCCATCCTTCCTGCGAGCCTTACCGCGCGGTTCCGCCGACAAATTTTGGGCTGAAGAGCGCTGCCACGTTTTGAGTGGCAGTTGCGCGGTGCTTCTCTGGCCGCTTCCCTTTGATATTTATCCGCAAGGGCTTCGCCCCCTGCCGCCGGCCCCCTCCCTCGGAGAATGGGCCATGGAAGAGCTAAGTCATGAGGTCTTGGCGCTGTCGTGAAGCAGTATCGAAACTTCATGCGAAGCCGATTCGCAATCAGCAAAACCAACTGATCACAAGAGGGGTTACCACACCTGGCGATTGGTAAGACGTGTATGGTTTACGGGCTTGGTTGCCACACCTTGCGATTAAAGGGCCGAGGGAGTTGTCGCAGTTTAGGTTACCACGCCTTGCGATGGATGTGCGTGAAGGGTGGCACCGAATTTCAGAAATGTGGCAAATCCCTTTTGATTTTGGACCATGACCCCGCGGATCTGCGTAAGGGGTAGCGCCGAAGTTCAGAAATTTTGCGAATCCCCTGTGTTTTTGGACCCTGACCCCGCGGATCTGCGTGAGGGGTGGCACCGAATCTCAGAAATGTTGCAAATCCCCTGTGTTTTTGGACCCTGACCCCGCGGATCTGCGTGAGGGGTGGCATCGAATTTCAGAAATGTAGCAAATCCCATGTGTTTTTGGACCCTGACCCCGCAGATCTGCGTGAGGGGTGGCATCGAATTTCAGAAATGTTGCAAATCCCTTGTGTTTTCGGACCCTGACCCCGCGGATCTGCGTGAGGGGTGGCACCGAATTTCAGAAATGTGGCAAATTCCCTTGTGTTTTCGGACCCTGACCCCGCGGAGCTGCGTGAGGGGCGGCATCGAATTTCAGGAATGTGGCACATCCCCTGTGTTTTTGGACCCTGACCCCGCGGATCTGCGTGAGGGGTGGCATCGAATTTCAGACATGTGGCAAATCCCCTGTGTTTTTGGACCCTGACCCCGCGGATCTGCATGAGGGGTGTCGATTTTGAGCCCCCCTCAGCAATTCAGACAACGCGCCCAGGTGAGGCTAAAAATCCTGTTTGGGCCTCCCCCCCCTCGCGCGGTCAATCAACTAGTTACAGTAACCAGCAAGCAGTTAACTAGTTACAGTAACCAGCAAGAAGCAGAACTGTAAAACTGGAAACTACAAACTACAACTGGTACAGGAAACTGCGAATCACGCGCCTCGCAGCCTGGTGGCCCCACAAGGGCGCCGGCGGATATTTTTTCGGGAGCGGCCCCTGGAGCATTGTGGCTGGGGGTGCCATTTCCCATGAGTACCGGGCACCCCCGCGTCGCTAGAGAATGAATCTTGTATATCTTCCTCTTCCTACTCCCCTTCCTCTCTACTACTGCTGCCTCTCCGTTCCCTCCTTCACCTTCCCTCTGATAAGAATTTTAATGCGAATCATACGAATAATACTAGTAATAAGAAAATAATACAAATAATACTAAGAAGACGCAGCACAAGAAAAGGAGGAGGAGGAGGGAGCAGGAGGAGGATGATAATGGGGAGCGAGGGGGACGACGAGGAGGAGGTAGGACCCAGAGGAAGAGGAGGAGGTGACGAACATACGGTTTGGGAGGTGTACCGCATCAGCATCGACGGCCAGAGAACCAGATATGACGACCAGGCCAGGCCGCCTCTCTGCATCCTCCTGCGAGTGTGCGGGCCGTTCCTAGGCTCCTGAAGCAGAAGTCATCCTCCCTCTTCCTTGCCTTCGAGAGTATGTATTGAAAACGACAAAGCGTCGGAGATCTGGGTCCATCTGTTCCCCCTTGCCACACCTTTTTTCCGCACCTCTTTTTCCGTTCTCCACCCCCTTTCTTCTTCGTTTTCTCTTCAACAATTACTCAATATGAATACTACTTTCCCTTTTCCCCTGATGATGGTCTGAAAGTGCTCGACCCCCTCCCACGTATTGTTTTCTACACACAGGTTTCCCCGGAGTTGGGTTTTCGCTTGCATGTTTTTTCAAAATGCTGCTTTCGCTGAGGCGCCGGCCTCATTTTCGGGCCTCGCTCGTTCCAAATCGTGCTCCCGCTGCAGCGCTGGCCTCATTTCCGTGCTTCCGCTCGTTCCGAATCGTGCTCCCGCTGAAGCGCTGGCCTCATTTCCGCGCTTCCGCTCGTTTCGACTCGTGCTCCCGCTGCAGCGCTGGCGTCATTTCCCGTGCCATGCCACGGCATGCAATGCAATGCTAGGTTGATACTACGCTTTGCGGTGCTCTTCTACGTCATGCCATGCCGTGCTCTACAATGCATCGCGTACCCTTTCGGGGTCCTTGCCCTGCTCGACATCCGATTGTGCGAGTAGAGAGGGGATCTACGCCATGGTATGGGATGGGAGGGAGGGGTAGGATGTCAGATATGACGCGAGCGCACCTAGCTTGCCCCCCACCCCTCTCCTCCTCCTCCCCCTCCTCCTCCTCTTAGGCTCCGGGCAGCAGTGCCAGGCAGGCGCCTTTCAATTCCCGTCTGGGTCCGCCCTTGTGGTGACGAGGCGGGGCGTTCTCCCGCCCTTTTCCGCCATTCACGATCACATTTCTTTGGCAGCCTGCCCAGAGCCAGCGCGCTGGCCGTTGAGAACGGCTGGCCGCGGCTGGCTTCACGGCGAAGGGCAGCCGCCGAGAGCCAGCTTGGCACCGACGTCTGCGAGAAATGAAAACGACGGACAGATTACTCGTTCGGTTGTCATCCAAATACGTATTTCTCGTTCGACTGCGACTTCAAAGAAACCATTCCGTCAATATGTCGGATTATCCCTGGTTGTGTACTACGTGAGGTGTTTCAAATTTCCCACAGAGGACTACGTTTCGGGTTTGCGACATGGTGAGACAGGAGATCGGCTACAGTTCGACACGATCGAGACAGGGCGAGCTCAAAGGAGGCAAAGCTCGAAGCAAAGGTGCTACGAGTGCAGGAGATTCGCCAGCCCGTCTCGACAGAGTTCCTCCTCCCCCGCAGCTGTTGCAGCCTATCCTGCGTCATTTTGCGAGCAGTACTCCGCAGTCCCAGGAGGCAGATGGTGGGCACGCGTCAACAAGTCGTCAGCGCAGACAGTCTCGGGCCCGCACTCGCTCTCCGTCGGTCACGTTCGCAGACGAGGCAGAGTCGGAGCACGAAGGTGTCAGCAACAGCCACTTCAAAGGCCTCGGCATCATCCCAGCGCTGCCTTCAGAGGCCAGGATGCGCGATCATTTCCCTGGAGAACTGCGCCAAGGTGCTTCGGACTCCGAGCGTCGAGAGTATATTTAAGATTGCAGGAAACAATTGAGGATCCTCGCTGGAACGATTCGACTCCGGGAGCGTTCAGGAGAGATGGCGCACGAAGAAAGATCATTGTGCACGGCAGTTCTCGCGGCAATACTTTTGTGTCGGCCCTGCAAACAGCAGCGCCCCCGTCGGGAGGATGCGTTGAAGCGCGCTGTTCAAAGGCTAGAGCAAGTCAGCAATAATATAGACGATGCGAAGGAGAGACTCATCAAGTTGGAGTCGCAATTCTCATTCGCGTCAGAACGGGTTCAGCGGCGCCAGGTCGCGTTGGGCGAGATTTTGGCAGAGGCTCCTTCGGGGGCAGATGTGGAAGACGACGACAGTCCAGGGGCAGAAGGCGATCAACCCAGAGCTCCGCTTCGTGTGGGAGTTCAGCCTCAGACGCAGTCGCAGAGAGATGGAGATGGAGGTGGGGTGCAGCATCATCCGCAGGTTCCAGCTCAGCAGTTGCAGCCTGGTTAGCTTCCCGACGTGGCGGCCATGCAGCGACATATTGCTGCTCTCACCACGCCGGTTGCATCTTATCAGAATCAACTTGCTACGGTGCAAGGGAAACGCGATGCACTGGCGATGGCCATGGCGCATGGTTCAGGACTACTACCTCCGCCAGATGCTTTGCATGGCGTTGTGCAACCTGCGCGTGCTCAAGGTCGCGCGCAGGCCCCGATCTGCTCAGCGGGGGCCAATCACACAGATGGTGCAGAGTCGAGGTCGGCGGCGTCGACGGCTGCGCCGCAGCAGGCATCATCGCATGCACGTCCTGCATCGCGTCGGGATCACTCTGCGAGAGCGCCGCCGGCTCAGAAAATGGCCACATCTCCAGAGAGCGGCGCTGCTCGCGAGAGTCGCGATCGCAGCCGAGATCGCCCGGGGATCTCGACCAGAGCAGGCCCATGCGACAGCGACGAAGATTTGGATCGAGCTACTCGGGATGCTCGAGACAGAACTGCTCGCGAGGGGGGGTAGCTGGTGCTTCCGCTCCGATCGGACTGTCTGACGATCGGAGTGATCAGTCTTTTTCAGGCGCTGTCAGGACAGACTTCGTGCCTATGCCGAACGTAGCCGACAGTCTACTGCAGCAATGGAGCTTCCAGCAACATCAGGATTGGCGACCATTCCAGGAATGCCTCTTGCCTCGCACTCTTGAGTTCATTCAAGGTCTTACCCCTTGGAATTCTGATATCAGGGATGTTTCCCAAATAGATGTGTTTACTGACGGAAGTGCGGGTGCATCGTCTATCCCTCCCGCATGGGCTTTCTGCGTTATGGTTGTCTCTCAGGATGGTTCTTCGCATTTTCTGACGAGTCTTGCTAGTGCGTTCGAGCGTGACAGGTTTTCTGTCTTGCCCACGCAGTTGAGCATGGTCTCTGAAGTACTTGCATCGACATGGGCCATGACATGGGCCATGTAATGACAGTTTCGAGCTGTTCTCTTTCACTTTCATATGGATAATGTTGCTGTCATGAACGGTGCGCAGGGCAAATTGGGACATCCCTGAGTTGGGTGGGCTGGCTAGCTGTCTACGCTCCATGTGCCGCATGCTCATCTGATGTCATACTACATGGTCTGCTCATGTACACGCTCATGCGCAGCATCCATTAAATGAGTATGTCGATACTCCAGCGGCGCTTGCTGGACTTGTTATCATTGAAGGCCCCGACGAATGCCCCTGGAGCCCCGTGCTGCAAGGCCCTTATTCGGCTAAATGGGCGTGGCTAGAATTGCTACAGGGTGATCTGCGAGCTCAGTATCCTGCCTTGAGGAATGGGAGTCTTATGATTTGGGATCCTGATGGGACCTCGGCGTGTCCGCCTCTAGTTACGCATGTTGGCAACGTGCCAGATCAATTTCCGCAGCACGAGCGCTGCCAGGATCTGGAGAGCACTCCTTGCTTGCAAATATGCATGGCTTTCGCCAGTGTCCTTACCCTACAGAATACATCAAAGGGAATGCGGCCAGTGGGAGCTTTTGTTACAGGACGTCCAAGGTTGTTTGCGGTGCAGTTCAAACTCCAAGGGCTTGGTGTTGCGGGCGCAGCTGAGACTAGGATGCCATTTCCAGGTTGGGCCAACATAGGCTCATATCTTGTACTGCATGGACCTCGACATGATTCAGGGTCGCATGGGTGCTCTCTCTGGCTTCGTCGTGGGCTCCAGCTAGTTCCAGGAGGGCCTGGCGCGGCTATTTCTAGGCAGAGACTGTTGTTGAGGCGATACCAACCTTGCTCATTGTGAACTTGGCCGATGCATCGCTCAGCGTCACGTTCTGCGTCGGGCATGCTCCCCACTCTGGGCACTCGTTGTCTGGTATTCAAGCTTGGTGGAAGGCAGCTGCGTGTTCTGTCCGCCGAGCTGCTGATAAGGCAGATGATTTATTTTTGCTTATGGTTGCCAACGCCACATTGGGAACGGCGAGCTCTACGTCTGTTGGATCTGTGGATGCAGAATTTGAGAATGTGTGCGGCTCGTGTTTCCACAAGTTTCTTCGGGGCCTTAAGCTCTGCGTGCCGCGTGCGTTCCTGGGGCCAGCGTTTGATCATGAGACGTGGGTGCCTCCTGGAGCGCTGTTCCCAACTAGGCGCATTGACTACGTGGCTGCACCGATTTGTTGCTTACCGCATGTATCAGTGTCCAGAGCCAACCACGAGATCGAGCTGTCAGTATCGAAGCCAGACCATCTCCTGGTCCAGCTAACGATTCGGCTACTTGTTCCCCATATACGATCATCGAAAGCCTTATTCACAGAAACAACCTGCTCTGGACCCTAAGCACCTACGGGATCCTGGCCGCATTGCTAGTTTTTTTATCAGCATATGATGGCCTGCCCCACACCGCCGTGGCATTTACCACCTACTGAGCATTGTTCGTTGGTCTCTGCGTTTGTCAGAGAAGGTATGGAGAAGTGCTTTGTCAACCAGGATGCTCACAAGACTGAATCATCGAAGTGCGTCAAGGAGTCAGTGCTAGCTGTGCGCACTCACCGCCGTGCCCTGCGACAGATCCGCTATTCTGTTACTAGGCTCTGGCTTGGTGTGGTGTTCAAGGCCTGGCATGCTGTCGAGTCGCACGGGCCATGCAGTTTTGAAAAAAGATGAGCTACCTGGGCGGCACTTTGCGCTGCTGGCAGCGGCAGGTCGAGTTGGGCAGCAGGCCCGCGACAGTTTGCAGGCTTTGCTGGGTGTCTTATTTGCTTTGAATGGCAAATGGGAGCGTCGTATACTTGGGACACCTGTCTTGAGGCATCGCTGGCATTCGTTTCTCGGGGATATTCGAGCTACTGCGAGAGGCCTTGCAGGCCCTAAGTCTTGGTCTGGGCTGGCGCTATTGCGCCGAATGTTGCATCTAAGGGTTCAGGCAT